ACCATATTACTTTCGCCCCGGCTGGCTCGCTCTAACCTTTTGTAAGCGCTTAAGAGGGTCGCGGAAAAAAAAAACACACACACATTTGCGCTTGATTGGGCTCAGCGCTCTAGGCTGCTGGGAAGGACCCGAGTGAAGTCAGGGCTTTTGAGCTCCACCAAAACCAGGGGGGAGCACAAGTTATGCCCGCGGTCAAATGCTTGAAATTGGGAGGGCCGAAACGTGCTCTAATTTTGGCCGGCCGGCCAGTCCTCTCGGTTTAAAGTAGCTCCCAGGTTCCTTGGACGGAAAGTGACCCCCGTTTCACCCCCCCATCCCCAAACCCGCTTTCTAGTTTAGGCAGCCAGCTAGTGCAGCCCGACTGCGGTGCAAACCCTTTGGGCAGAGTCAGGCCTACGCAGCTGGCCTCTAAAAAAGCCACTTGTGCAAAGCGTGGGGGACGGGGAATCGGCGCTGTCACGGGACGGCCCGCGGCTGGGCCTTCTCCATGGGCACTTTTCTTTCCTCATTTGCCCTCTCAAGAGTGCACGGCCTGGACCCCAACTTGCTTTTCCAAGCCGTCGGGAGGGGGACGGGGACGGAGCCGACTTGCCCGTCCCGATCCTGCACACACGCGGACCCGTTCCGAACCAAGCCCGTGCTTTCGGAGTGTTTAGAAAGCCCTCGACGGAACTGCTGCGAGGCGGCCGAAGCTGGCGCAGGCTCTCCGCTCTTTTGTCGGAGAGCGAGAGCGGCCGAACTCAAAAGACCGGCGCGAGGAGACCGAGGCTCCTTTTTCCTCCTTTTAGTAGCTGCTTGCCCCTTCGGGCCGTTTTCTCCGCTTCGCCGGGGTGATTTTGAAGTTTTGGGCCGCCCTAGCGAGCTCCCACGAGCTCAATCCAGATTCTCGGTTCCCCCCCCCAAAGAGCACGCCGAACGAAAGGGACTCTGACAGCCAGAAGTCCCCATCAGGTCAGGGCGGTGTCCCCACCCCGCGCTCCGGCTCTGATTTCTTCCAAAACCAGCCCGTTTCCTGCCAACTTCCCCTCCGATCCCGAACATAGACGTGGGTCGCACTGATTTCATGGGAGCGAAAGAGTCGAATAAACCCAGCCAAGAGGATTACGCTTCTCTCTCTCTCTCCCTCTCTCTCTCTCTCTGTGTGTGTGTGTCTGTCTGTCTCTCTCTCTCTCTCACACACACACACACACACACACACACACACTTCCAAGAGGACACAGGAGGGTTTCCACCTGGCAAGGTTGCCAAAGATTCAGCAAACCTCGTGTCTTTTTTTTGGAATTCAAATTCGAGCCTAATAATTTAGAGCAACGAACGTTGCGGGAGGAGGACGGCGGAGAAGAAAAGTAAAAGTAAAAGAATCCAGGCGAGGCCGAGAGTCTCTGGAGTCCTTAGCACTGAATTCATTACCATAAATTTAGCCTACTCTCTTCGGTGGGCAGCCTCTGCTAACCGGGGCAATAACTGGAGAAAAAGAGCATTAAAACATCTCCCCTCCTTGGCTCAGTCCAGCCTTTTTTGTGAAACGTGTGACTGAATGGTTGGATCCAAGCATATTTCTCTTCACTGTTAAAACGGCGAACACACGCAATTACTAATAAAAACACTGCCGTCTAAGTAGAGGTCGGGATAATGCGAACCAGACTTTCCTTGCGGCCTGGTTGCCAACCTGCTTGAAAGGAGTGAATTAATCCGTGGGACCTAGAGGCTTCCTCTGATCCACAAGGATCCGTAGTGATACCAGATCGAATTCCCCAGCCGACCTCAGCTGTACCTCAGTCGCTTAAGGAGCTTTCTCTCGATAGACTAAATACCCGATATCACGGGGATTTTAATTTCTCCTTTCATTATTTTCCAAAAGGGCCTAAAGGAAGGTAAAAGGCAATCAGGGGAAGGAGACAAGATTCAAACGCTGAGACTTTTCCCAAGCCAATAATTCTGAATCAAAGCATTATCGGCGGCGGCTTAAGTTTACCACCCCCCACTCGCCACTTCCCTTAATCGCCTTACCTTATCGTTTTGGTATGCGGTCACCGCAATGAATTCCGTCTCGGGGAAAACGTAAGTGCGGAAGGTGCTGTAAGGCAGCTTGAGGATGTCATTGGCTCGGACAATATGAAACCGAGGCTGGTACTTATGCATGGAGTTCAGGATGGTCTGGAGGGGGGGGGCAAGCGTGGGGGAGGGGTGAAGGAAAAGAAAGAGAGATTCAGCTAGAGAACATCGGAGGGAAACAACTGACCAACAACACAGCCAAGAGAGGTGAACTAGGGCACCAATCCTTCCTTCCTTCCTTCGCTGTAGAATCTACAGCTAGGAAAACTTTCCTGGAAATGGTTTGCAATTCTAAGAATAGTCTCTTGCTTTCCCACCACCACCACCACCACTTCACAATCTACTAGTTGGCTGGAGGCATAGTGGGGGGGGGGGGGAATCGGCCATTGGTTTTCTGATCTCGCTCCATCTCAGTAAAGGGGAAAAGACAGAGAGGCCTCTCAGGAAATCCCTAAGATCAGACAGTGCTCGCCAGCAAATGAGAAATCTCTCTTTTCTTCCTTTCCTCTTCTTCCAAAGAAACTGGGGCCAAAAATAATGACATCCTCTGAGCACATTTCTCTTTGCTTAGGAAAAAAAAAGTTCACTCTTCTCTCAGATGGGAGATGGGGCTGGTGGCCAAGGCAAGCTTTTTAAAGGCGAGGTGTGTGTTTGGATTAATAGGAGGCCTGGTTGAAGACAGAGGTGTAGACTGAAGCCGAGGAAGGAAGGAAGGAAGACAATATCGACAGATACCCCCAGAGTTCATCTTAATTCCCCTGGAAGGAGGGGTGGGTCGTCTTGTTTCCCTCTTGGCTTTCTCCCCCCACCCCTGTTGCCATGTCTCATTTACAAGCATGATCGTTTCTGGCATTTGCCCTTTTACAGATGGACAAACTACTTTGTTTCCTCCCTGCAACTCTAAGCAAAGTACAACAACTGGAATAAAATCTGATTCGGGATGGCAGCTGGAGCAATGCGGGAACAAGGTCCATTCTCAACCCAAGAACTTTTCTCAGTGCCAGAAGAGAAGCACCACCTTCGGCACACAAAACCTATTCCTACACTTCTGTTCTCTCTCTCTCTTTCTCCCCCTCCCAAACTTTCTTTATTTCAGCAGCCTAATCAAGGAAGGGGGAGGAGGGGCCTGCTGTTATTACTTTGTTAACAAAACTAGCATGCACACCCCTTTGTTCCTGCTAGAAGTTACTTGGCGACCTTCCAGTGGATCCCACAATTTTGCCCACTCCTGGGAAAATGCTCCTAATCTATATTTTTCTTCTTCTGAAAAATCCCAAATAAAGGCAGAATTCACTGCAGAAAGATGTGTTCCACAGTCCTTTGCTCAGCTTTCCTACTTTTGCCTCCCTCTCCCCTTTCTTCCCTTCCTTCCACATTGAAATGGGATTCAGACCTTGCCGCTTTTTAGAGGAATTCCTGTAAATATCAGGGATTTACTGGAGACTTCTAAGTGGATTTGCAGCCTAGGAAAAGAGAAAGTCTCCTATCCGGCAATGCCATTATGTTTTGTTTCCCTCATCCTCCCCACAACACATACAAGTAAAGGGACCAACCCTAATATTCTTGCAAGTCACCTTAAGTTTTAAAATGTGAGACCACATTGCCCCTCTGCACGTTCACCACTCCTTTTTTAGAAAGCTGGATTGCTGGTCTCTTACTGAATAGGATAATCAGAACAATCTCTCTCTCTCACACACACACACACACACACACACACAATATCTCCGCATAGTGCCGGAGGTTCAGTCCCATTTCTCTGAATGTGTACTTGAGCTGAGGGGGGGGGGAGGAGGGGCTTGATTCAAAGAACACAACTAACTCATCAGACTAAAAACACTTACAAATCCATGTTTGTCTGAAATGTTGTTAGTCAGTTTAAGTTTGTGGAAAGTCACGACTTTGGACATCCACTGCTCGCCTGTTGCTGGACTGTCCGGATGTATGTACATTCTCTTTGGCATCTCCGGGTCAGCCTTCCCAGCCACCATCCACCGGGAATTGTGGAATTTATATCTACAATCATCAGCTGCCACAATGTCCATCAATAAAATGTATTTGGCTTTCTTATCCAGGCCCGTGCATCTCACTTTAAAGGGTGGAAACATTCTCCTAGAAAAAGACAGCAAAAGGCAAAGAGAAGTTTTGATTTTTGCACTTTCCAAACACCTAAGCAGCACAGCATTACAGTTTAGCATTTCTCTTGTATAGAAATACATTTGAATCTAATGCTGTAGAAGAAACTCTCTCCTGTTGAAAAGTGTCCGAAGCGGGAAATCTGTGGATATTTAGAAACAGCAATAATGACAGTAAGTGTAACAACTCAGTCTGTTCTGTTGGCGGTGGAATATGAGCATACAGAGTGAGTTAAGATCCACTGTACATTATAATGAAGAATATTCCAGTTATGAGATATGAAAAACACAACAACACCAAATTGCAAAAGACCCCCAAATTCAGTTCCTTAAACTGATTTCTAAACTACATGGAGGTATGATACAGCTGCATGGAGTAGCTGACTGGATGAAAATACATTTTAGCAGCAACTGCAAGACACAAGAAAGCAAATAGTAAGTAATCCTTCCGGATCTTTGTTGAAAAACTTTGGACGCAGATCCAAAGTCTCCTAACTATTGTTGAACATTCTCAGTAGACTTTTTTTTTTTTTAAAAAAAAGGCAACTTGTAATCTGTCTCGAAATACCATGATGACCATTTAAAAACGTGATATTTCTCAGATGTATGTTTTAATCACAACTCTTTTCCCTCTGCCTGAGACTGAAACAATGACAATTAAATGTTAATAGGATAATTCCTAATTGTAGGCAAATGTTACAGGAAAATATATCTCTTAAAGAAATGCCTACTCTAACTACAGCTTAAAAATTTTTTTACTGGGCACAAAACACATTCCTTTTAGACTCTGGGCACTATTATATGGTGCTTTATTAGAAGATTATAAACTGATCCACAAATTGTGGGCGCTTAACTGGCCTAGACTGCTGGCAGCTAATTAGAAATCATGAATAAAAACACTCGATTCCAAAACACTTTTACTGGAGACCCAAGTCCTTCTCTCCTTATTTGGGGGGAATGTTCATATAGGCTCAAGACTAGGAACTAAACAGAGAGATCTCCGAGATTTGCTTGGAAATCAGTCGTCTACTTCTAGTCCGGAAAGGATTGCCGCCCAAACAATTTTTGGAGTAACCCGCAGCATTATGTATATTACGCAGTTCCTTAGAAGTAAGCCCCATTCATTCCTGTGGGAACGACTTCCCAGGAAAGCTTGCACGAGGTTACAGACATATGTCTGTGAACGGAATGAGCCGATCCTCGGCTGTATTTTTAATGAAAACATTTCCGGCGCTGTGTAAGGCAGAATTACGAACAGGCATGGCCAGCAACTCCTTGCAGTCAGATTCTCTCCTTACTTCCCTCTGTGCAAGATCTGATTATCTATCCACGGATTACACTCAGAGAGACACTGGTTCAGAAGCTAAAAGCTTGAAAGTCCACGCCAAAAACTGTAACTCCAGTTTGAATAATTTCCACATTTCATATTAAATCAGTTTCCCCCCCCTCCCCATCCTGAAAGAGATTTTTGGTCTGTTTGGCGACCCACCCCAGGGTGAAATGTGTGTGTGTGTGGATGGGGGGGGCGGCGACTGAAGTAGAGAGAAGATCCTGGGCATAGCCCCTCTCCCTTACCTTCCGGATTTGGTGATGACCATCTCGGTGCCCCGTTTGTGAAACTGTTCCCAAAGCTCCTTGGCTTCCAGGTGGACTTTGGGGTCATCCTCCACGTCCTCCTCGGGCTCAAGGGTTTTCAAAGGCCGCAGGTGAGCCGCGGCTTGGTGAGCTCCCAAGGAAGAGAAAGGGATGCCGGAATCCGCCGCTCCCACTAACTGGTCCATAATCGGTTTAGCCAGAGCCCCCGGCAGGGAGAGAGCCGCCGCGCCGTTGGGAGGCAGAGCCAGGGCCGGGAAAAAAGGCGGCTGGTGTCCTAAGACGGCGGCGCTCATGGCGAAGTCCGGGGCCCGGTGAGGTAGGAATGGGTGGTAAGCCATGCTTGTCCCAGGGATCACAGGCTCTCTCATCGAGAGGTTCACCCCAAACCCCGGCCGACCTTCCCAACGGCCTGGAACAGTCCCGGAGCCTTGGATCGGCCTTTTAACAGTTCATCTTCGGCCCCGATTCGCAGCGGGAGAAAAGGAGGAAGACGAAGACGAAGGAAGGAGCGGCGCGGCGCGGAGGGGGCGCCGAGGGGGCCGTCAGCAGA